CTGTATTCGGCGCCCGTACTCGCCGTCCACGCTACATCGCTTCCTCCGCGCTAATCTGTGACACATATACCTTGGGGTTTTGATCACAGATTCGATATTGTCAGTGCCAATAACGGCGAACAAGTCGTTCTTGATCAAGTTGAAATCATAGCGATCACTATTGAAACCTAGTACTGAAACTTGACCAATCTGCTGTTTGATCTTACCGAAGTCGGCCTTTTGTTTCTCAAAACCTACACTATTGTGGAACCATATCTACCTCCCTTAATCTAGCTGTCCACATCTGCCATGGTGTAGGCTTTCCAAGCTTAATTCCTGGGATTTCCGTACCTGTCAAGCCGTGAGCAGCAATTACCTTCCCCAGAAGGGGCTCATACTTGTCCGCGTTGAATCGTTGGATCTTGAGCGACACACTCTCAATGTACTTGAACATATCCGTAAGCAACGCTTTCGGGTCGTTATCTACAAAGCAGCGTATCCTCGGTTAAGCTATCTGCTATCGATACTGCAACTGGGATATGTTCGTTGGTAAACGTAGTATTCTCTCCATGCTTCACTAGCGTCGGCTTTAAAAAACCTCAAAATAATATACGATGAAATGATCTAAATATTGGTCAGTGGGTTTGATCGAGTACTTTGCAAGCATTGATTTGATGGTGTTTTGTGCAGGACGATAGATTGTTGGCTCGGCTGGAAAGCATTCAACATTTGCGACCTCAGATTTATTTTTCGTGTGATTACCAGCTTGTCAGAGCTTAGAAAGACCATCTCACACTTAGACCATTGATACTGATACTTGCTTTGAAATATGTCAATGCTCTTGATGTATAGAGCGTGATTATCGTGGGAGAGAACTTGATACCGTCGTAGTCATTATCTATGCAGTTTACTTTTCCAGTATCTACATCCATGGAGTAGAGATAGTAGAAAGCATTCTTCTAGCTCGTCGAGCTGAAGAAGGTCGATTGGCTTAAAACCAAGGAAGAGGCTCAACGTATCCCCTTGTATGAGCAATAACTCTTGAATACTTCCTTCACTTGTGCCTGAATTCTAGGAGGATCTTTCTTACCATCCCTCAATGAGTGCCATGCAATGCAGTGGAAAATACACTTGTGGTTAGTCTTTGGGAAGTTGGTCACATGCTGGTTATCACGAATAACCTTTGTTATAACGACCGCACTATCGCCTAAGGCATGATTACGGTGGTAAATGTAGATCTTAAACCCTGTGATAGCCTTCAGCTTGTAGCCAGAGCTAGGATAGTTTAGCTTGGCCACCAGCTCCATCGATCGAATCTCAGAAATAACCTTCGAACGGATATCGGCTATGCTATTGATAGCGACAGGCCTCTCGAATACGTTATTATTTGTGCGATTGGGATGGCAATACTGTGTGAAACTATCCTCTGTTTTGCTAATCAGATCGTATCCAAGATCAATATTGGTCTTGAAGGCATTCTTTACGTTGTTGCTAGTCATTTGACTAGCAAGAACGTTTTCATGCTTATCGTAGAACTCAGCAGGCTGAATTCTCTCGTAGAGGTGAGATTCCATCTGTTTACCTTTATAGAAACGGTTATTTGGGCCGGCCTTGTAGCCCGAAGAGATGTGCTTTATCAACTTATCTACACTGACCTTATATTGCTTAGCTACTAGCTGTTGGTTGCTTGGGCGGGATAGGTTGCTAACGTAAACCATCTTCCCAGTTTTACGCGCACCTTCACTCGGTAGCTGCTACCCCATTTGATAGCTTGAATTCTTAGTCGCTTTAGTCCTTCAAGCTCGTATGCAAACATGTTTGCTATATATGTGTGGCAATAATAATCCGGTGAACTTGACTTTATGTGTTGGGTCTTGTTTCAGGATCGACTTTATATCTTAGCCCCGACAAAAAATTTCAAAATCAATTAATTCAAAGATGCTTAGCACAGTCCTTGTTGAGACCCTGGAGCCAACGGAAGTATTTTTTGTCGTTAACCTTGATCCCTTCGAACGTCTTGTCGCGGTACTCCCCGAACCCAACTGTCGTTCTTGACATCAAATAGTGGGCTAAGTCCTTCTTTGAGGGCTCAGATACACAGGCGCACTCGAAAAGGAAATGAATATACGAGGCATCAACACCTAAGAGATTCTTAGGCTTTTTCCTCTTATATTACCCGAATCTCATCGCTAAACGAGGTCAATCCTCGCTCTCGACAGTCCTTACAGACTTTTAGCTACCTCGGCACCGGTTTTGGCACCCCAGACAGACTTTGTAGTGCCCACCAAAACGTTTGGCGCACACAGAGCCGACGAAATGGTGATTCTGATCTTTATCGATGATTAGGAAGTGCCTCTTGACGGGGGTGCTACAATAGTAACGGTCGACAACGTTCGGATAGTACGCGGAGCACGGGTAGATTTGTGCCCATCTCTTTTTAATCGCGTCCCAGTACCTCCCGGAGGAGTGGTATTGACTCAGATCGCCAAGAGGCCTCGGTCATTATCTTTAGCGAGGAGTTGTCTTTGTTATGCGTGGGCTATATTAGGATTGACTTTTTATCGGCAAAAAAATTAAATAATTAATTAAGTTCGGCTTTCGTGTTAAGTTCGCTTTCGGGGCTTTCGTTAGGCTTGTCTGTTGCCTTTCGCTTCCGGGCACGGATGTGATATCTGTTAAGCGAGCTTCCCTCGTCTGGAGGTAGTAGCGCTTTTGGGCCGCTCTGAAGCGCTCCTTATGACGCTGATATTGTTCAGGTGTGTATGCCATTGATGTCTTTCTATCTATCAGGATTGAAAATGATTGTCCCGAGTTTACTGAGATGCAATTGGGCTTCGAAATTCTTTGGAAGTATCTCGATTATTCGCTAACAAGGCCTGATTGGCTGAAATCAATTGTGCACCTGCGCCGTTTGATCGGGACTGTGATTGACTAAGCCCTGCTAGTGTTTTCCGCCTTCTTCACCGGTTTCTGGACGATCAGTCTCCAATACGCAGTTTGCCTATTACATCGAACGCTTTTCGGAGAAGGTATGGATAACAATTGAGTATTTTGATGGCATGCCAGATGGAGGCAAAAGCTGTTGCAATGTAGGAAGCATGATATTGGCTTCCGTACTTGAAAACCAAAGATTCGTTGAAGTAATCAGCGACGAATCGCATAGCTGTAGCGAACAACGTTTTGTAGGCAAATTCACGCTTTGTACGCACAGCCATGTACATCTAAGGTACAAACGAATGCCGGTAACGTTTCTTTCATACAACGAGCAAGAACTGCCTAATGCAGCAAGATTCCAGCGATATTTAATAAACGTAAATAACTTACGTGAGTTAGCAACTGTAATAAATAATTTGTAAATATTTAGTAATAACACTTACTGAAATCGATGCGGTAGGTGCCATCGGTAACTCCAACGAGACCGGTCTCTCTTTGCAGAATACATCTGTACCGATTTCGAAAAAGACGTCGCGATGAGAAAATAACACCAAACGAAATTTCTTTCCCAGTGTTGCCAGGTCAATGTGTTCAATATGAGTAATTCATTCTGAAAGTCGAGACTTTGCTGTGTAAATGCCGCCAAATCCAGACAACCTCTTTCCGCTCCACACCGCATTTTCATCGACGAGAAGAGAGTGACGGAAACTATCCTTACGTTTTCAGTTCTCAGTTAATACTCGCTTTAAAATGCAAAAGCACTGACAGTCCAACTGTTTAATGTGCGGTCGTTCGAAAGAATCTCTATTTGTATTTTCAACTAACCATAGAAGGCAGTACCGCGTTCGAATTTCCCAGATACCTAGAACGCAGCGAGGCGATAGACCCCCCCCCCCCCACCTACCGTGACCTCCCTTGCGTAGCGTTGTGGGGCGAGCTTCTAATCCAGGCTTCTTGACACACGCATCTTAGCCATATTTTCCTCCTGAACGTTGTGTACAACTGTAGTGAAGCAGATTCAGAATATTCCGAGGTTGGACTCTATGAGTTCCCATCAATCAAGATCGACCACCATCCATTATGGCGATCTTGGTGTGTTTCACGCCAAACCTGCCCAAACCGATGACGATCTCAAGTGTGGTATGCATCACACCTGCCCAAGTCAATTGTACCCAAGATTCATTGATTCTGCGAGAGATTAAGCGATCATGAGGAAAAGGACCCACGATCTGGGCCCGTCAGTGATGTAAACCTCCGACCAAAGAGCCAGTGACACCCGGGGATTCGAGGGAGTGATAGCAGGTGTTTATGGAGTCACAACTTTGGACATAGGACGAGGCTAACCCATTAAACAGTGTTGTTTTTACTTCTTCCTTAGCAAGTGTTCTTCGTCTTCGCTATTCCGGGCACGGGATTGACTTTGGCCCACCCGACGACGCGCTACAGACGT